ATAACATTATAAATGTCTATACTGTCACCTTTGATTAATTTAATGCGTCATTGCACAATAAAATTATTGATTTAATTAATAATATGTTAATTTGCAAAACAAATTTTACTTATTCCAAACTTTTTAATGGTAGCGTAGTGCATCACGTTGTCCACACAAATATGAAGCTGCATATTTTCAACAGATCCATGCAGTACTGTAGGTTTCATTAATGTTAATCAGACAATTGTGGTATCATGGGAAAATATATTGTTAATTAATTATTCTTATAGATAGCCTTTTTGGTTTTGACTTGGTGTGTGCCAAATTTTGTGTTATTACCAGGGATTTTACACTGATTTTGTTTTGGAACCTTCAGAAAACTTTAACTCGATTTTTCTCAAAATTGATCTATATAATTTTGAATATATTTCATAGAAAATATAAAAATAGAGAATTATGAAAATAACAATATTAATATTGTAATTGTATTTCACAATATTATTGTTTTCACTGTAATTGATTGAATAAATGCAGCCTTGGTGAGCATAAGAGACTTCTTTAAAAACTTTGTAAGAAATCACAAATATTCTAAACTTTTGACTGCTAGTGTATATAGTGTTTATTATTGTATTTTATATTACACTATATATTCGTATGTTCATGTTAAGATTGCCCCGGAGACGCGTGCTGTAATCAGCTGGATGCAAGATATTCCTTTTGTACTGAGTGCTAATCTGCATGGCGGAGAGCTGGTGGTCACTTACCCTTTCGACTGCACACGTGACTGGATCCCTCGCCAGGACACGCCCACCGCAGACAATGATTTCTTCCGTTGGTTGGCTACCGTCTACGCCTCGACCAATCTGGTGATGGCAAACCCAGATCGGAGGATCTGTCACTCAGAAGACTTCCTACAGCACAACAACATCATCAATGGAGCTGACTGGCACACTGTTCCAGGGAGTGAGTAAACATTCAATATTCATTTCCAACAAGGTACTTTCTAAAAGTACATTTTAAGAGATGACACGGGTGTAATTCAAATAGAGGTCCACAGTCAAAAGTCTTGTAGAATATATTCAGGAGCATGTAGATGGTGACAAGGTTTTCCGATATTAGTTGTGTTCCATATGGAGGACAAATAATTATGAATTAAAATGTTAAATGAAACAGTAAATAATTAAGTAATAACTCATTTTAAAATGCAACAATTTCATTGCACAATTTAATTATTAATACTGATAATTCTTCCTTTTGTTTTTAAGTGACATTCCTAGTTTCATGCTCATTATATAAAAGGCTTTATGTACTGATGAGTTTCAATGTCATTTTTTTTTTACTTTATAGGCGTGAATGACTTCAGTTATCTCCACACGAATTGTTTCGAAATTACTGTAGAACTGTCCTGTGATAAATTCCCACATGCCAGTGAGCTTCCTATCGAGTGGGAGAACAACAAAGAGGCCCTCCTGCTGTACATGGAGCAGGTCAGTTCATTTTCCCTCTGTCCTGTATGGAAACATGATCCTATAGGATCCTTTCCATTTTCATCTGCTCTCTCGCTCTTCTGCAGGTGCACAGAGGTATAAAGGGCGTCATCAGGGACAAGGACACTAAAGATGGCATTGCAAATGCTGTTATTAAAGTGGACGGCCTGGACCATGACATAAGATCTGGTATACTTCTAAAATCACTATGCCAAATAAACTGCATTAAAGAGGACCTATTATGCTTTGTTTAGATTTTCAACTTGTGTAATGTTGCTGTTTGAGCATGAAAAAATGTGTGTGAAGTTACAAAGTCACTCCAAAGGGAAGGGAGTTATTTTTGCACTATTTTTGAAACGCCTCATTTAAATAATCCCCCCCCCATGGTGAAATTTGCAGTTATGGCCAGAAACATGCTCAAAGTAGCTGACCAATCACAACACACTTGTCCAGCCGATCAATCAGCGTGAAAACTGATTTCAGTAGACCCCAAAAACAAAACTTTGTAAAAGGTCCTCTTTAAAGCAATTTAATTTAGTCAATACAGCCAGGATATATTAATGTTTGATTGACATGTTTGTAGCTGTAGATGGTGATTACTGGCGTCTGCTGAACCCAGGTGAGTACAAGATAACGGTGTGGGCTGAAGGCTACTTCCCTCGCATCCGCCACTGCTCTGTTGGGTCAGAGCCCCACGCAACCATCTGTGACTTCACCCTCACCAAGACGTCACAGGATCGCCTAAAACACATCCTGGCAAGAGGAGGGAAAATTCCCCGGGATGATCAGGTACGGATCCGAGCCATGCGAATGCGCAAACTCCGCATCAGCACCAAGATTCTCAATCGCCGCCGGGAACAACAGCAACGCCTTAACAAAGTCAAACGGAAGTGAGGAGCTCATTTATAAAACAATAAGCCGGTCTGTCACAGGTTGAAGGACATTGCGATTTAAGAGACATTGAGATTGTCTGATTTGAATGTTTTTTTTAACCACTAATATTTTTAAGAATGCCTCATGTGAGCTAGACTCTGAGATTGTAGCTGGTTTTCTACTCTCAGAATATGATGTTGATGCTGATATTATAATAAAGCTAATAAAATAATTTTCTGCTGTCTTAATTCAGTGATATATAGAAACTTGTTTCCGTCACAGAATAAAACAAAAGGTAATCGCGACTTCTAAACTCCTTATATCCTGACTTTATTCTCATAATTTCTAGCCCTGATTATTTATTTTTTTCATCCCTGATTTTACAATTAAATCCCTGATTTTCTCAATTAAACTAAATATGATATAAATCACATCCCATATTTATTTTAAAAATATTATTTTGTGAATCGGCAAACACGTGCATACTCTGTTTATCTTCAATGTATATTTTTAATATAAAAAATATAGTATGGTGGCTGGCACGAGGCAGGCGTAGATGGTCCCTGATAGATGACATCCCTTGTCAGAAGCTGTCTCATCTTTTTAGGGATCCTTAGTTTTGCCTTGAATGGGGGCCTGGCAGGTCAGGTGCTCCCTGAAGGGGAGACCTGATGCTTCCTCAGGGGATGCCGCAGCGCAGACATGGTTGCTTCATCAGGGGACAAGGCAGGCACAGGTGCTTCCTCTGGGGACGAGGTGGGCAGACAAATGTGCTTCCTGAATATGAGTCTCTGAGGTCTGTCTGTCTGTATCGCCTCTTACACCAGGGGTTCTCAACTCTAACTTTGATGAAATTATCGGTCTATAATATAGTAATCCTGATGACCTTGCTTGATGAGGTGCATGTGTTTAAAGGGTTAGTTCACCCAAAAATGAAAATTAAGTCATTAATTACTCACCCCCATGCTGTTCCAACCTCGTAAGACCTTCGTTCATCTTCGGAACACAAATAAAGATATTTTTGATTGAATCTGAGAGCTGGATCAGTCCTAGATAGGCTGCCTAAGGGACTGGCTCTTGACGGCCCATAAAGTCATTAAAGAAAAGGTTTAAATATTCCATGTGCCTACAGCGGCTCAATTATAAGTTTATCAAGCGACGAGACTACTTTTTGTGCGAAAAAAACATAAATAACGACTTTATTCCACTATTCCATTACTTCCTTATGGGCGCATGCGCGAGAACTGAGACGAGGACGTTCTCATTCGTCTACTTCTTGTTACCGGCTGCTCACCGCTTAGGAGTTTTACCGCCACCTACTGTATAAAATGATGATCCATATATAAGGCGCTCCGGATTATAAGGAACACTGTAGTTTTTTGAGAAGATTAAAGGCTTTTAAGTGCACCTTATAGTGCGGAAAATACGCAAATTGAAAAGCGTATGTACAGCGCGCATCTTCCTCTGATTGTAAACAGAAAGTTTTGCGCTTCCAGCTATATCAGCACATCATCTTATGATGCACATGGAATATTTAAACCTTTTCTTTAATGACTTTATGGAACTAACCCTTTAAGGGTTGGAGAAAAACCATGCAGGAAAGTGAATTAAAGGAGTAGTTCACTTTATTTTTTTTTTTATTTTGAGATCTTGTATTTATAAATGTCTCCTGTGTATATTTAAAATAATTATTGATTTATAATAATTAGTGGCTGGTATGTTGGAGCCATGTAATGGAAAAGTCATGTGACCAAATGATAATGGGAGTGTCATTTGTTACTGGGGTTAAAACACCTGTTGTTTGTGTGTGTTATTATGGAGGAATGGGGGTGAGTGCCGGAGCACAAAATTTTGTTGAACGTGTAAACGTGCAAGCCTGTAAAAAATAAAAACATTGTGCAAGCTGTACAAAAGAAACGCGTCACAGAAGTTATTCCTGCCACTCAGCTCCTTAGCGGTTTATGGTTTGTCTTTATGCGCCGCTACACTTTTATTTAGCAAGAATGTACTAAATTGATGACAGCAAAGACATTTTGTAAATAAATATTAATATAAAATACATCACAGTTTACACAAAAATATTAAGCAGCACTTTCAACATTGATAATACTAAAAAATGTTTCTTGAGCAGCAGATCTGCATATTAGAATGATTTCTAAAGGATCGTGTGACACTGAAGACTGGAGTAATGATGCTGAAAATTCAACTTTGCCGTCACAGGAATAAATTTGATTTGAAAATATATGCAGATATAAAACAATTATTTTAAATTGTAATAATATTTCACAATATTACTGTTTTATTGTATTTTTGATTAAATAAATTCAGGCTTGGTGAGCAGAAGAGACTCGTTCACATTAAAAAAAAAAAGTACAGATCCCAAACTTTGAATAGTTGCATAAAACTGCCTGGTATATGAAACTAATGAATTCCATATATTTTCTATTTATCAGTTTTACAAAAATTCAGCAGACACAAGACTTTTTTCCACCAATGCAACTCTTGACTCATTCCTGATCTGTTTAGGTGAGTCAGGCTCCATTAGTAGACATATTCACTACGTACTCCATCAGTCTAAGGAATGCTAATACAAGTTTTAGTGCTTCTTAAAAATTCTTTTGTTTACAGCATTTTTCTTCCCGAAAGCCAAACACAAGCTATGAAAAACTTTCTTTATTTAATAAATCTATAGCACTGCATCCTTAGTAATTTCAACATGAATAGAGTGAATCAAATGAGAATCAAGGATGAATAAAGTTATGGTAACTTTTACTGTTACTCAGCTTTTAAATTTAATTCAGAACAGTCACTCTATTTAAATAACTTGCTAAGGAGGAGGAGGAACCACTGATAATAGTCCCAGAAAAGCTGAACATTCAGATTGTGTCCTCTATGTGGATCATGTCCAGCCACATAAAACACTCCTCCATCAGCTAAACCTGCGTCAAAACTGCTCTATCCCATTGTTTTTAATGACCAGAGTACAAAGCTCTCACTGACGTGCGTCATGAGCATCAGAACATTTCATAACTGCTGATTGTCCATGTAGAATCCAGAAGCATATGAAATCAGAAGATTTTAAAAATCAACCATCTACAGAAGTCATATTCATCCCAATAGTCACACGTACATGGTACATACTGCATTGACAATCTACAACTCAGATCTCGGTTAGTGTTAAGGACACGGAGTCCAAAAGTAAACACAAACAATTAGTAAAAGTGACTTTCAGAAGTGTTTTTTTTTTCTGAATATGAATATGGCAAGTTCTAAAATGTTTAGCAAAATGCAAAAATTGCCTTAAACTGTGTTACAGTTGCATAAAAATGATTGGCTTAAGCATTTACTGGATGAGCAAACAAAAAACATTCCACAATTCTCTAACGCTCACGTGACTCATTCATCCTCCATCATGGAGAAAAACTAATGCTCTTCGCTTTCATTCTCGCACAGACTGATAAGTTCAGAGTTCACACAGTGTAAAGAACAATTACATCTAAAAATGACAAAAACGTACAAGATCGTTCACATGCAGCGTGACCTCACATGCAGCGTGACACACACACACACACACACTCCATTTAAGGTAGTTTCGTTCCCCCATTGTCCGCCCTAAACATCAAAAGCTTCTGCCATTTGCAGGATGTAGTTCAGCGATCAGTGTATGTGTTAAAAGTGTGGTTGATAAAGAGCTACGCGTCCACTAAGGCAGCCTGATGCAAACTGACAGTGAGTGGGTGAGAACTTTGAGGTGAGCACCACGTCGCTGTGAGAGTAGATGGAGCGGACCTCCCGCAGCAGAGCCGTCCTCACGGGCATGCAGTCCGTCAGCTCAGCGCAGTGCTCGTCGAACGCCAGCAAACGCACGCCGTAACCGTACGGCGAGCAAATGAGGCGGCCGTCCGGACTGAAGCACAGCTCTTTAATGTAGCCGCGGCCTACGTTAGCCTCCTCGATGTAGTGCGTGAGACGCAGAGAGCAGCGAGGAGACACTGGTGGTCGAGGTGGAGCTCCCTCTTGAAACTCGTACACACACGTCCACTGAGAAACAGAAATAAGTTAAAATTAATTCTGGCAGATTGTACGTTCCACACTTGGTTTAGGTTCCATCACTAACCTCCTGGTCGTCCATGTTGCTGGAGCAGCGTAACAGTGTGGCCCAGCCCTTAGGATGCAGTTGCAACGAGGTGATGCAGTTCCCACGGTCCCGCTCACCTGGGATCTCTGGGGTTAAAACCTCAAGACTGTTTCTGGGTGACAAACCTGGGCAAAGACAATATGTGCACACCAGTAGTTGGTTAAAACGAAAGTGTACAATCATAAAAAAAAAAAAAAAAAAAACAAGACCAAACTACTTATGCATGTACAAATTTCATAACTCATTCTAAAGCTTTACCCTCTCTGTGTGGATGGGTTTTGCTGTCAATGTTGTGACGAGAACCACCTGACCTGGAACCTGCTGATGAACCTTCTGAGAGAAAGATGATAATAATATTATTAATAACAATAATAATGGCAGACATACTGCACCAGAACGCCCACCACACACCAGCTTATTGTTGGAGAGGAGACAGAGTGATTAAGCCAATCAGTATACTCTATTACGAAAGACATCCTGGGATTTTTAATGACCACAGAGAGTCAGGACCTCGGTTTAATGTAGTATAGTGTCTCCATCACTATCCTGGGGTGAACGCCCCCTGCTGGCCTCAACCCTCACCAGGCTCAACCCTGCTTAGCTTCTTCTTGGGCTACAGGGTTATATGCTGGCACAAGATGTGCCAACCATTTCACCTGTATAGTTCACTGTCATATCAGGCTGTTTTATAGGTTTTAATTAATATGTCTTTAAATTCCAGTTCAGTTGCTGTGGTAGCAAACAAACTAAGTTAAATTTTAAGAAGTAGAATTAAAATAAAATACATTTAAATTTAATCCAAAATTGTTTTATTAATATTAAATTTATACAAGTGCAGTTTTAATATTAATTAAGGTTTATAACTAATATTACGTAATATTTTATGAATGACCCATGCACGTTACCATTATACACACCCCCGTTCAAAAATTTGGGATCAGATTTAAATAAAGAAAGAAATGAATACTTTTATTCAGCATGAGCAAGGATGCAATAAATTGATCAGAAGTGACAAGACAAAGACTGTTCTTTTTAGATTTCTATTCATAAAAAAAAAAAAAAACATTTTAACAAAAATATTAATCAGCACAACTTTCAACACTGATAATAATAAGAAATGTTTCTTGAGCACCAAATCAGCATATTAGAATGATTTCTGAAGGATAGGGTTAATGCTGAAAATTTAGCTTCGATCACAGGAAGATTTTTTAATATATTAAATATATTATATTATAATACATTTTAAATATATTAAAATAGAAAACAGTTCTTTCAAACTGTAATACCTCTGTTTTTACTCTTTTTGTATCTAATAAATGCAGCTTTGGTGACCATAAGAGACTTCTTTCAAAAAATTTTTTTTTTTTTTTTTTTTAAATCTTATCAACCTCAAACTTTTGTGTATGTGTATGTTATGTTACCAATAATTAATATTTGACATTTACATACATACATTTCATAATATTTAATAATAAATTCAATTTAGTTAAGGACCAGTGGAGAAAGGCATTTCCAAAACGATCCTTAAGATGATCTTTAGTTTTTTTTTAATGGAGCTTAACAAAAAATAATTCTATAACATGGAAACCTTAAATAAAACAGCTAAGAAACTATTAATATTAATGGAGTTGGATTAATAAAATTAATCTATGACCATCCATGTTTAAATGACTTTGGGCTGAATATCTCTGAATCACAGTACAGTAAATTTCAATTAAAATTCGGTTTAAATTCCAACTCATGAACTGAAATGAATGCCATTCGACCATTCAAGAACAATTCTGAATTTTACCCAACCCTGCCTGTAGCAACTATGAACCTTCCTTTGAATACTAATCCATTTCCATGTCGCCCCCATATCTCCTGATTTCAGATATCTGCAATCTTCATTACCAATGCATATATACCTTATTTGTTTATGTTTTATGTATGTACCTGTGCTGAGCGGGGCCCTACGGGCCCGTAGGATGCGGTAGCTCCCGACCTCAAGGCTCTGGGTGAGGTCAAGGTCATGTAAGATGAGCAGGTAACCAGAGGATGTGGAGATCAACATCTTACTGCAGTCTGGAGTCAGACGCATCCGCATTAGATAGCGTGTGTGGAAAAACTTCTTGTGTGGACAGCCATCTTCTGTGAACCTAAATGCACAGAAAGTACAATGACGCACATACTTATATACATGAAATCCTAATTAAGCAAAATCTTGTTCACACTTTCAATTCACACTAGATCAGTTCTCTTGGTCCACACCAAAAAAGAAAAGATACATTTAGTCCTGGTTCACTTAGCGTTCACACTGCTCTGAATCTAAAGACACAAAACAAACTGCATAAGGATAAATGTGGCTAAATATGCTACTTATTTAATGTGCGTTCATATCATGGTATTTTTATCAGCTGAAAACGAAATGTGCAAAGGATTGAAAACAGTCAAATGAAAATCTGCAGCAGAAGACAATAGTTTTGACGCCTGGAGCAATCGCACCAGAGTCCGTTTTATTGGACCAAACCTGCCAAGTGTGAACACACAGGAAACAGCTCTAACCACATATCACTACACGCACCTGTTGGTATCCCAGGTGATGACATTTCCGTCGAACCCTGACGTCACAAGCAGGCGGGTGTGTGTGTCATACTCAATGTTCTTGACCCAGCTGGCGTGGCCATGCAACGTGCACACCTTTGAGTTGAGTTTCCGCAAATCCCACAATGCAATGGTGGTGTCATCTGAGCAGGTCGCAAACAGCCGGTTGTCAAGAAACCTGAATAGTACACAAATTTTGCACAAAGACAACATGGCGGTCATCCTCCTGAACTTTATGCTGGTGCTAGACAGTTTAGTGTGTCTGTGTAAAAATATTAGGGGTGGAGCCGAACCCGAATACGGTATTCAGAAAGGCACAAATAACATTTTTTACGAATACTTAATCGAACAAATACTTCAAAAATATTTGTATTCGGGAACAAGAAAAACGTAATCAAAAAGTTGCGTTTCCTCATGAGACCGCAGTGAGTGAGTGAGTGATGTTCAGGAAGAGGTGACTGACACAGGCTGCTCCACACAGCAACAGAGAGGGCTTGGGTGAGCGAAATAACACTTAACTGCATCACTATTTTTGTTGAATAGATTATTGTACCTTAAATGGTTTTCAGAGGCAGTTTATAACTTGCGGGGTTTGATCGGGAGGTTATTCCATGTTCGCACGTCAAATGGCGCCCGCACCATTGGATATGCACTTGCCGCAGCACAGCCTAGGAGTAAGCCATATGCTCAATGTACTAGCTGTGCAGCTGCAAACATGTTTTACATAAAAGCTTCAGTAAATCGAGGAAAAGGAAGCTTTTATTAAAACGTATTTGCAGCTGCACAGCTAGCACATTAAGCGTCTGGCTCACTTATAGGCTGTGCTGCGGAAACTGCACATCCAATGGCGCCGGTGCCTCTGACGTGTGACCAATGAGCTAGCCCTACATCATTACGCGATAAGGGGGTAAGGTGGCCTTACTCGAATACAAATACTTCACCCCCTCAACAAATACAAATACCGACTGCTTTGCACACTATATATATATATATATATATATATACACACACACACACACACGTATGCATGTATGTGTGTGTGTGTGAGTCTAAGAGATGGAAAAACAATATTTTGCATTATGCAAATGGTTTTGAATTAGATCTTACATTAAAAAATGCTGTAATTAAAAAGGGCTTCCCACACACTGCAATTGATAATATGATGTGTTCACATGTACCTGATGTTATTTACACAGTCCTCATGAGCCTCCACTAGCGTTTTAATATGTCTGGAAGAAACAGGGTCAAACAAAAGCACTTCTGTCTGCTCACAAGCAACCGTCAAAACGGACCTAGAAAAAAAAAAACAAGGGTGTTTGTCAATTAGGGGACCTTTTCTGTACCACACGTATCTTATAATAAACAGGTTTCGCTCAAAATAATAAACATTCTCACTCAATACACTGAAGTTTTCTAATTGTGTAATATCTAGACTAATAGGCCTATCTATTATTTTAATCCAATTCATATTTATTTACTTTAACATATTTAATTACTCTTATTATTATTATTTATTTATTTTTATACAGTTTCTTTATCAACTTTTCCCTTATAACCTTTTCTAGCCAGACATAAGTCCCCATGAAAATAAATACAGAGAAGTCTAAAATTCTGAATACTTATTTGAGCTCTACGCAACTTGCACTGACATATTTTAAAATATATCAGGACCATTGTTTTGTCTCAAAGTTTACACCAGTAATGTAAATTTGTTAAGTATGTTTATAAAAGCTACTAAATGTCCTAATTGAACTAAGGCCTAATGCTGACTTAATCTAAGCCCTGTCTGTGAAACCAGGCTTTATATTAGTTGTCATAACGAAATCAATCAGCATTTAAACATTTAGTCCAAAAACAACATTTATTTTTATGTATATACATTAAAAATGACTTGACTGTTCTATTCGTTAATGGTATCAAGTAACTGGATAAAGTAAAACGTTTACCTCACAATACCAAAAAAAAAAATAAAAAGCTCAAGGCCAATGTATTCCAAAACATATAATAAAATACAATTGATTTAACAAAGACTTATTTTTAATGTTTAGTAAAAAAACGTGCATATGATTGAAGAGACACTTGTAATTGGATTGAGTAGTTACGGGACCCATGACAAGGGCAACACAGACTCTTACCCGTCCGGGGAATACTCCAAGTTGAAGACAGCCCCGTGAGTTTGAGTACTAAGGTTCACCGAATCCGTAGCAGGGCTCATGGACTTATAAAGCCGTGTCATTGTACGGAAATGATCCCGCGCGGGATCTACGAACGGCCCCCTACGTATTGTCCTGTTGCAAATCCACGAGAACAGAGAGTCACTCGAACCCCTGCATCCCGAACCCGTCCCGCCGTCTGCGGCCAACTCGAGCCTCGAGCTGCCCTGCTTTTCGGTACTCTCGCGGCCCGCTTGGGGTGATGATGGTCTCGTGGAGCCCCTGTCTTCATCGCTGTTCTCCTCATCCTCCTCGCGCAGCACATCAGCGCGCGGCTCTTCGGGTTCCTCATTGTCGCTCGGCTGCTCCGAGCTCATTGTTGCACGAATGATTCAGGCGGCTCCGTTTTGAGACGCTTGCAGACTCACCCTCCTGCAGTTGGGGGACAGGCACTGGATATGCGAGCCAGGTTGTCTTGAAATGTGGGCAGAGACTGCTTAAACATCCATTAATACAACCCCTAGAATCATGCGCGGATGTGTGCGGAAACAACAGACTACGTATTTCCGGTTCCTTCTCTGAATAAATTAAATCCACGTTAAATGATTTCTATTTTTATCCGTTTTTTTAGACGAAAAATAGTGCACACCGCACGTATTCCGATATAGAAACGAGAAGGCTTTAAACTTTGGGATTGTGTTTACTTTAAATGTCCATATAACTGCTAAACACATATTTTTTTAACTTTTATATCAGAAGTGCTTTCGGTGACTATTAATTTACAATATTCACTGACTGAAAATTCACACAAAGACTTGCATGTAATTTTCTATTAGGATAATAAGACAAGGCAACGTAGCCATCAAGCAGCGCTACAAAATCCATTTCCACAAAATCTAGTCATTATGGTTGATTAATTTTTTACAGTCTACGTTCATTCACATGACAGACAGCAACTAAGCAAGTTAAAGGGATACTCCACTTTTTTTGGAAATAGGCTCATTTTACAACTCCCCCAGATTTAAACAGTCGAGTTTTACCGTTTGCAAATCCATTCAGCCGATTTTTTATTTTTTTATTTAGAAGAATATCAGTAACCACACAGTTTCTGGTCTCATTGACTTCCATAGTAGGAAAATATATACTATGGAAGTCAATATACTATGGTAGTCAATGAGACCAGAAACAGTCTGGTTACTGATATTCTTCTAAATATCAGAAAATCGGCTAAATGCATTTGAAAACGGTGCAACTCAACTATTTCCAAAAAAGTGGAGTATCCCTTTAAGAAACGAAGCTCGATCAACTCGAAACACGTAGACCAGCAGCACCTGCTGGTCAAAATGGCGTAAATGCAACGACAGCTCAGCACAAACATGTATTTACACGTTTTACAAATGTCTTCATGAAAGTACAATATTTTAAATTTAACCAACAAATAATAACATTTTGAAACGTTTTAAAACAGCATGACGCAATCACGTGACTTGGAAGAGTTTAAAACAAGGTCCGAACCACTGATTCGAAACAAAAGATTCATAAATGCTTCAAAGATCAATTAAGCAGAGCTTCGAAAGCATCTGACAATTACTGACAACACAATCACAGTGTGTTCTTGAGAAAATTATTTATTAAAAGCTTCCAAATTCTGAGAACAAAAAATATCCACAAAGCAGATATTGTGAATCAAATGATAATCTATGATAAAATACTAATAAGATCACTTCAATCACTGCATCCGTAAGGTAAGTTCTAGTTACTTAACTGAAGGAACTTTTATGAGGTATAGTTACACAAAACGTATTAGTCAGCATAAGAAGGAGCTGAATTAAAATATGAAACCCTGAGGTGTTGCATCTCATCCTCTGCTGGATATTGTCGTCAGACATTTGTTGCATATTTTTTCAGTGCCAGATAATACTAATATGACAAAACCCATTGTACTACATTGGTATCTTTAAAGGGAAAATGTATTTACCCAAATAAATTATGACTCTCTTTCTTCTGTGGAACACAAAATATAATATTTAGAAGAATGTTGGTAACAAAACCGTTTTGGTGACCATTGACTTCCACTATATGGATCATTTCACAAAATATCTTCTTTGACGTTCCACAGAAGAAACAAAGTCATTCAGGTTTTGATTAATGAAATCATTTTTGGGTTAACACTCCCTTTAATGACCATAACTCTACAACATATCTCTAACTCTCTGCGATTGACTCTCTAACATGCTGTCGTAGACTGAGCGATACACGCTGAGGACCTCGAGTGCCGTGGGCCGCATGTGAGGCTCCTTCCTCTTGCATTCTGTGTAGATCTGAAACAAGTGGAAATGAATGACATCACTTCCCAGGACATTCCCCAAAAGGAAACGTGTCACTTCAGGAATCTTCCAGATGTCCGTCTTTTCATCGTAACCAGGCATGGCTTCATCTGAGAATTGAACGTCCTCACCATAAGGCCACAATTGCTCAGGGGCAACAAAGTCCCCGTTGAGCTCATGGTGACCGCACTTCACCCCTTGGCTTCCCCTCTCTACCTCAGGCAACGCATCCAGGTCGTTGGCCAAAAGACGCATATCTGATGCGAGAAGAAACTGGCTGAGAGTTTTGTGCAGGTCGTTGGAGTCACACATGACTCGGACACCCACCGGACTGCTGTGCAGGTATGCCAGGAAGGCAACATAGTCTATTGCCAGCTGTAGTCGAGTATGCCAAGAGTTTCGCCAGTGATATCGGTCTTGCGAAAGGGTGGCATCGAGCATTAGCGCTGATCCAAGAGGGTGGTACTCCGTGACAAACACACCATCCTCCTCACACGCCCCTACAAGCGTCACGACGTGGGTGCTCTGCAAGGCACGTAGCATTGACAGTCCGTGAAGGAAATCATCTGTATACTGCTCTGATGACAAGACAGAGAGCGCCACCTTCTGGCCTCGCCACTCCGACAGATAAACCTAGAAAACACAATCATGCATTAGTGTAAGTCTCTAAGGATGAATTAAGAAAAGCAACTCTAACAACAAATGGTTAAAGAAAATCGACAACTAGCAGTTCACACTGTGCGCAGTAAAATCCGCAGTCACGTTACTTTATAGCAGTGAACAACACATTTCTATAGAGACCATGTTAGACCAAGGAGCAAGTTAGCATTTAAAACTTCCAAATGCATCTTTCTGAAGTCAATGTGTTTTTGAATGGGCTTTTGGTTAAAGTTAGAGAAGGAAATTATTGATCTATTATTACTTGCTATGAGTAAATGTGTGCTCCTCATACCAGTGAACTTTTACTTTCAACCCTATTTTGCACATGTTATTGCCGTCAAATTGCACATTTTAAATGAATATTTTAACTAAATTTATATATATTTTTTTTAAATTAATCAAAAAAGTAATCAACAGATAAGTTAGTAGCAAGTTCTCACCTTCTTTACAGCCCCTTGTCCGATGAGCTTCACACGGCGGACCTCGGCGCGAATTTCCGGGCACCGTAGCCAAGGAGTGCAGACGGTCATTGTGCCCACTTTAAAGTGGCGAAGCGGGCACTGCGTGTGTGTTGAGAGAGGGTTAGTGTCCTGATAAAGGGCATCTAGGTAGAAATACAGCAGCAGATTTGCACAAAGGAGAGCTGCCAGGCAAAGCAAAACTGCGGGCAGTCCACACCTCGCCCCAGTGAGGCCATAGACAGCAGTGCCAACCATAATGACATCTTAACCTATTGATTAAAACAAATGAAGAGAATTCAGACAAATAATTAGTGGAAAATGAGAACATATACAACAGGTTTGGGTTATTTAAAGGTAAGTTAATACCATAACAGATGACACGCATAAAGACCTTTAAAATGAAGAGATTTTGGGAGTGCTGTAGTATCTTATGGGCGCTTCATCTGTTATAATGCATTGAGTCTATATTCAGGTTGCTACTCGCTGCATTGACTAATAATTTGAGATCTGAAACCAGAAACATTTTCCACAGGTTTTTTTGTCTGATACGATTTGAATGAATGCCTTTAACACACCAGTTTGCATTAATATGCGTACTGCTGGATCACCAGACGCAGACACAGTGTCCTCCTGTTCATGCGATGCCAATGCAATTCCTTTCGTTTGTGTAAGCGGTGAATAATTGTTGGTTCAGTTTCCACGCTGTCTGATTTCTCAATGTTGTTTTTCCGGATTGTCTTACTCTATGGAATAATTAAAAGAGCAGCGCACTGGACCCCGGAGTCACATCGCCATCTAGCGCCATCATGGTGTAATCATAATCATACACAGTTTTTTGCAGCCTATGGTTCTGACTGAGCCCAGGTTCTCCCATGTTTTTTTGCCTTTGGGAGAACCAAGGCAACGCTGTTGCCTTTTTTCGCCTTTCTTAGCCATTGGCTTTTGGCTTGCTTAGTTGGGGACATTTTATTTTGACAAATAAAGCTTCAAAAAAGGTTTGATGTAGCTTTAGCAAAACTGATGTAGCGCATATTTTTGAGTCATGAATAATGTGTTTCAACAAGTTGCAGTTGGTAACATTTCAACCTATTTAAATTCATTGTTTGACTGTTTTTATGTCAGGTAGACAAATAGACATGGCTACCAACTTTCCCAGATTGAAATAAGCAGTTTTTAACAGTATTTGAGAGAGATCTACAAAACTTGTCACACTGCCACACTTCTGGATGATGCATTGTTGTGTTTACCTTGTCAATTCATTATAAAAGATATGATAAAAAAATGCTGCTGTACAACCCTGACATTTGAGAATATACAAATTACTGGACAAATGTTTTTCAATTATCTTAAGAGCCTTGAAACTATTGATATTTATCAAATTTGTTTATGTCAAAGATTTCAATTCAATTCAGTTACATTATATAACAGTGTATCGCAAATTTATGTAGGCTAAGGCTAAGGCAAATGTATGTGTGTGTCCCAAAAATTAGTCTATTAATGTGTTCACATTATAGATTTATTTTAAGGAAATACAGTAATATATCTACTTTTATTAAAAACATTTCACATTATGAAATTTGTTTCTAACATTTAGGACACTTTCTGATTGACAAAAGTTGATGTTAGTTCTGAGAAATATGTTATGGTCTATGTTTGCCACATGGTTTGATATTTTGTTTAATGCAACAAAACTAAAATAGCCTATTTTAAGTACTTTTTAGAGCCTTCAAATAGGCTACATGTTTTTTTTTGTTTGTTTGTTTAAACAGGATATTTATATTTAAATATGGAAAGTATTATAGTTTAAGATTGAATGCTTACTGAAGTAGCTATATGAACCCATTCACACTTCAGGTGCTTTTGTCATTAGTTATACAAACAAACTATGTTCTTTGACCCACACCAGAGATATACTTTATTCATTAGAGAACACAAGGCGGCTTCCACAGTTTCCATGGATAACGTTTATTAAATATTAAAGAATGTGGTGTCAAATTAACACCCTCGTGCCACGAACCCTTTTATCTGAAGATCAAGGTAGACCTTTAATGTCATGGCAATGCACTTCACCAGGAGCACACTCTAATTTCAGGCAAACAAAATTTGTATAATGTAGATTTTTTTTTAAGGCAGAATGGAGCGACGCACATGCAGGGCTGAGGAGGACCGAGCAGAGAGGAGAGTGAGGTTCCGCGTGGCGTCCGCGCACAGTGGTCGCGTGCTGCGGGAGGTGTTCCGAGAGCACGCGCTCGAAGACTCCGCGGACACGGACACCACTGTGAGCTCAGAGCCTGAGCCTGAGCCAGAGCGAGCGACCTCTCCCGTCATCACGGAGGCAAACAGCCATCTGAGCGGCCTGGTGGGACCCGGACCTGAACCGGACGACAGCGGCAGCGAACCCGACGAGCTGCTCATGTACGCTAGTGCAACCAAGAAGAAGCTTTTCACCGGAAAGCGCGTGAACATCTTCAGCAAGAACGGAACTATTCGGGGCGTGAAAGACAAAGTGAGCGCGGGACAGGTGTTGTTTAACAACCTGTCCAAAATGTACGGGGTAAGTTTTATTTAGAGCAGAATTACTTAATACATTTATTGACGTTTAAACAGATGTAAACGCAAGGGTGAGCTGGAAAAAGGAACCCTATCACCCTTATTAAGACATTTAGAATTAATGACTGACTAATTGCTGTAAGAAATACGCTGTTTACAGAATAACATTTCAAGAACGTCCAGGTTATATTTCATCCTAAAATAACAAGAACATTTTTTAAATAAATAAATCACAACGTTCTTTTAAAAACAATGAAGTAGGCTATGCAGGATTAATAGGATAGGACTCACTCGTCTAAGGTGTGTTATTATGACAATTAAACACTAAACGCACATAATATGCATTTATGCATTACATAATTATATATAATTTTACCTTTTGGTTTCGGGTTGATTTCATGAAATGTACTGAAATGTCTTATTGCCATTTGGAGGAAAATGAATTCCTGCTTAATTATTCCCCATTAGCAGTTGATTGTTTATTAGGCCTATTATAAGAATTATTATATTTCATTACCAGTGTTTCCAAGTGTTGCAATCAGTTAAAAGTTTAGACATGTCTCATTATTTCGTATTATATTTAAACATTTTGACTTAGTAGCATATTTACAAAATATGAAATAACTGCACCCTGTGCTTTTAAACTTCAGTTCACTTGTAAAAAAAAAAAAAAGTTAAATTTACAAAAGAAGTTCTTTCGTGTTCCAATTTTTTGTACAAAAACATAATTTAGAACTTAAAGAAATTAAGACTTTTTAAGATTTTTAACATAAATAAATTCAGTTAGGTATGTTTTGGCAGTGTTTTCAATGTAGGCCTACTGTTATTGTAATTGACCCACAGGTCTACATTATTTACTCTTAAAAATAAAATGAATTTGTATTATTTGTCCAAATTATAGATTTATTTATAATTAAGACTCTTACTAAGTTAGTTGTCAGTTGTTATATTATTGAGGACTGTAACATCATTGATCTATAATATCTAATAAATATGTGTCTCTCAAAGGACTCGCTTATTTTGAACCGGCCTAAAAGACCATGAGATTGCTCAAGAGCAGAGGATGCTGGGTCACAAAATAGGGCGTCACCCTGGGTGGATGTGCAGCAGGCTTAAGCAAGTGAAAGTGATGAACAGCGGCCAACGTTTTTGCTTCTATGTGATTTTCAATATTTGTGTATATTGTAGTTCTGTAAATATATTTTATATCAACTTTTTGCAAAAGCATTTTTGAATAAAGGAACCAAAGGGATATGTAAAGTCAACTGGTTGCTTGGAATGTTCATGTTGCATATGTTTGGGGTGCGTTTTCTTTATTTTTTACCTTTCGTTGTTTGTGATTGAAATTATTGTGATTTTTTTTTTGACAATAAGATGTTTTTATACATATCTCTGTTATGTTTTAATGCAATAAAAACAAAAAAGTCACATCAAACCTTTTATTTTTGTTAATACTTGAATGTTAATTTTTGAATAATTATGCATAAGCAATTAACTTAATAACTTGAACTTTATAAATTAATTCAAACAAAAAAGGTGCTTCCTCCAAATACATAAATAACCAATAATGAACAAGAATAAACATTATATACACTGCCCTATTCAGAAAAAAAAAGTCACTGTTTGGATTTAAATAGGTAAATGCTTAAGAGTCTATGAATTTATCATTATTGCAGTGATTATGTTTCTAGCATGTTATAAGTTTAAGGCAACAGTTCTTTTAACCCTAATTGATGGAGTGTGTAACTACCATGTAGAAAGACACATGATGGCCATATTCCAGGATGACTAGGGCAAGATTCATCAGGCCCAACATTTGAAAGTATGGAGCACGAAGAATCATTTTCACAGAAAGTCTTCAGTATGTGCTGGAGAAGAATTTACAGAGTGCTGGACTCCTGCATTGTCGATACAAGATCGTGACCAAAGATTGATGCACCTCTTGATGGAAAAAAAACATCAACATTTATATCCACCAAAAGGTGGATACATTTTTGGTCAAGATCTTGTAAGAATAAGACAATGAAAAATGGTTTACCTTAGCCATTGCATTATTCAGCTTGATCCCAGAGAGTGATAGAAATTCACTTTCTCTCATTCTCTGGGATCAAGCTTAGCATTAAATTAGTGTGGCTGAGTTTATAGTATCTGATTATGTGTGCATTCCAAAATAAAAAAAAATGATTCTGCTAGTACGTGAAGTTCTATAATAGTTTTGTTAAACTAAGTATGTATCTGATAATCCTGATTTACTGTTGCCACTTTGATAGCAATGCATATTATGTACACTTAATTTTCATCTGATCTTAGAGTGATAATTTCTTATAGTTCACATTTGAACTGAGTTCTCATCAGAAGACAGTAAGGAGAGCGAAGACCCCGTACAGAAGAGCACAGGGATATGCCACCAGCAGCTGCTGCCCACTCATGTTTAAAGTGGAACTGAAGATCTTAGAGGCTGATAGACTGCACCAGCCAACCACAAACAAGGCCAACAGCGTTCCCAAGAGCCCTCTGCATTAAAATAAAAGCCTTTTGTTATTCAAATGCAAATGTACCTGAAATGATACCCTCTTAAAAATAAAGGTTTCAAATGGGGGTTTTCGTATTGAATGCCAAAGAACTGTTTCGGGATTCCCAGAGATTCAGTTAATGTATTTGGTCTTGACAGACTTGATCTGGTACAGCTATTAGAAGCAATCTCATTGGTTGCAGAATCAGCAATGGCCAATCAGTGTGTGCCATGGTGAGATAGCTTGCAGATTGCATGTAAAGGAATAATCATGACTGAACTAGATATCTTAATAATATAATTATTCCTTTTTGGGCAATGGAAATGTCCATGGACGTTAAAGACTCTTCATATGTTCACCAATAAAGAACCTTTATTTTTAAAAGTGTATGGTGAATGTAAATAGACTTGTACGAATTGAGTAGCCTAAAACTGTTTTTTATTATGTGTGGCTGTAAAACAATCAAAGAAATGGAATAGAGGTATGGATACTCACTGAAGTGAATAAACAACAGCAAATGCAGAGAGCGAAACCATTGGCAGGAGACAGTATCCCAGTACACTCGCCACACATCCACAGGATATGCTGTAAATGCTCATCAGGTTCAACAGTGAATACATCCCAACACATCCCAGAGCACTGATGCCATACACATATCCAAAGTGTGCTTTCCCTGCCTACGGAGAGAGTCCACACAAATACACAGGTCCGTGCTCTGGACATTACATATGTTTGCATTCACTCAGTGCAATATAAATCACAGTGTGCCTCTAGTTATGGATTTGTAAAAGGTTCAAGGTACCATCAATAGTGTGGCTCCCAGGGCAACGCAGAAGAGAATAGGCCCAGTGAGGTCTGTCTCATTCATAATACTGCCATCCGCAGGCTTCAGTGGATTTAACACTGTCAGAGTCTTCTGCCAGATATGGTCAAAGTTAATGCCCAACTCTGAGAAAAATACACATATATTTTCATTTTGAAAAATATTTATTATAGATATTTTATTATAAACTATTTTTTCCTACCTTCTAAGAGTGGTGGTTCTTCCTCATATGAGTCTATGCAGTCTGTTTGCTCGAGTGGCGCTACAGGCTGATACACTTGTCCAGTATAAGATGCTGTAGTGGTATATTCATCTGCTAAGTGTGCGGAATTATCACTGATAATCAGATGGTAAACAATGAATCATAACTGCACAACAATTAGCTCATATAATCAATGATATATCAAAACACATGTATGCCGTTAGCGACGTTACACTTACACATCATGGTATTCTGGATTAACATAGGCTGGGTCATAGCCATATACCTCCTCCTGCGGACTGTCCATATAATATCCAGACTGATAGAAGTCTTGTTCAAAGTTTTGAAAGTCTCCCATTCTGTTTTAAACAAAGAAACATATGTAAACAAGGTCAGTTGTGATTATGAAAAGTTTGAATTTATGTTCTTACCTTTATATCTCCTCTGAATTCTTGGTTTGTTTGCACTGAGGCTTTGCGTGGACACGGAGCAGCTGTTTTGCTGTATGTGTGTATATGATGCTATTAATAGTTTTCTATATTTACTTGAGAAGCACTGTCACTGTGCAGGGAGGTCATGTTGTAACGCCATCCTGATGATCTGGAGATCCGAGCAGTCAGCTGCACTAACTGACAACATGCTGACCATTCATTGATCAGTACATTGTATCTGTTCATGAAAATGATTCTTATTAAATGGTTAAAGAAATATAGAGGTAGGACAAAAAAACTATCAATTCCTAATAGACAAAATCCATTCCTGCCCAAACTTTATCTTGTTCGAGAAGCCGTTTCACTTGTTTATACATCACAGTAGAGAAGAAAAGAATATTGCAACTTCAGTTGAATGCTGGCTTTAATATGAGTCACTTGCATGAAGTGGTACAGTATTTCTTACATTTTCCAAAATACATCATTACTTAGGAAATTTAGCTTGCATGATAATAATTTTACCATACTCCCTCAAAAAATATATTTTAGTTACTTTTAATTGTTATTCATTGTTTATGAAACACAAACAAAATAAACATTCATGATCACTTCTTGGTATATCATATGTAATATCCAACTTTACTTGACATTATTTAGTTCTCTTATCTGTGATGAGGTCAGGTGATCTACAGGTCTGGTAGAGCACTGGAATTATCACTGGAGCTCATACTGGAAACTGATGCTTGGGTTAAAAATGTCACATGGGATTCCTCCTCTTCATTCCTGTGGAAAAGACAGACAGATCACTGCAATACGAGTCAGTAGTTGTGTCCCACTATGTACCTATTTGCACTAATTATACTACAAAATAGCATTGAATACTGCATAAGTATGAGAAATTGGGACGCACCATATGGTACAGAACTAAAAGAACAACAAATGTTACAGTCAAATGGAAGTGTTGAACTGACATGCTTTTGCACTTTTGTATTGATTAATGAATTATACTAAAATTAGAATTATACTAAAACTTATCATCAGTAATTCAATAGGTTTGTATCAAATTTGCCTATGGTCAAAATTGGCTGCCTGCGAACAACGTTTACTTTGGGCCGCCCTCAAGCAATGTTACTGTAGATGAGGCATGGAAGAGTTTGGTTTGTGTTGAGAAGACGCTGTTTCCAACATGCGCTGTAAGCCTTTAAAATAGCATAATAGGGTCACTTTAAAATGAATAGTTTTATTAGCCAGAAAACCATACATCTGTTGGCATGTCTCACCCTGGATTGCTGCTACACTGGTTCCAATCAGAATCTGGAGCATGAATTGGTTTCCTTCAGAAATGTAGAAAAAAATTAGAATACAAGAAAATACACATTTATTAGTCCTTTGAGTCAGTTTCTTTTTCTTTCCTTTTTTACTTAAACTAAGAGTGCCAATAAGCTTGGTATTTTAATATTTTTATTTTTTACATTTATTTGTATTCTGGTTATTATCACTATCTTCATCTCACCAACTGTTTTTGTTTTTGAAGGTTAACTGTACCAATTTAATTAAGGAGATTATGACTTAGTAATTTACCATTTATCTTAATGTGGTTTCGTGTGCCTAATAAGGTTAAAAGGTCACATAAATTTGAACATTTGTGCTAAATAGTTTTTTTTTTTTTATCTAAAAGTACTAAGTACTTACCTTTTCAGGCCATTCATTTTGGCAAAGAGCAGTCTGAGAACTCTCTCTTTTTGCTCCCAGGTCATCTCTGATATGTTAATATTAGCTTTCTTTAGATTTCTGATGAAGTAACACAGTGTTATTACAGATTTGTTATGGATAAGCATCTTCCAGGTAATAACATGTTGAGTTATCATTTCATTGGAATTGTACAAATAGTAAAAAAACACAGATGAAAAGAGTTTAAGACTCTTACCCTTTTTCAGCCTCTTCAATAGTATTGGAAATGTTGTTGGTACTATGGGGAGATTGGTTGATGGTGTGAACGTGATTGTACTCCCTTTTGCTTGATAACAACTTATCCATCCGTCTGCTGCGATTCACCTCTTCTTCCTGTCTGGATAACATAATGTATATTATAACATAATGTAACATAACATTCTGCAGTAAAATGGAGCCTGAAACTTTTATCTCTAGAAAGAGTTGGGGTGTGTGTGATATTGACAACAAATTATATCTCAATATTTTCTGGGGTTCTTGTGCTGGTAGCTTGACTGGTTTAGGCCTCTCATTGACAACAGACTCTGAAGATTTTTACATTTGTCATATTTAGTTTACACCAGAGACAGAAATTAACTTTTTCAATACAAGGTAAAATTAGCTTCCATGAGCCTTTCACCCTTATAATGGCATTTTTTTTATATTTCTGTTATCAATTAATTGAAATCAGCCCATTTTTGCACAACAGAGGTAACAGAAGCTGCACCTGAAGTGCATTTAGATGCATTTACAGACTGTTTAATGCAGCTCAGAGGTGGCTTGAATGTATTACACTGCATGAATAATGCAGTTAGATCAATGTATTCAAAGCATTCAAACGGCATTTCTACTAGACAAGGGGTTTTCTAACTTGAGTCTGGTGACCTACAGGGGGCCGCAAGAGAGTGACAGGGGGTCTATGGAAAAGTCTAGAGAAAAAGATTAAATAAATAAGTAAATAAATAAAAAATATATTAAAATAAATAAATGAAAAAACAGTTGTGATTTAAATAAATAAAAAAGTACAAGTTTTATTAATCTATTAAATATATTAAATTAGATTAAAAAAAAAATAAGAGTACCAGGGAAAAGTCCCTGGTAAAGTCTAGAGAGAAAAAAACTAAGATTAAAATAAATAAGTAAATAAAGATTTTGATTAAAATAAATAAATGAATAAACAATTGTGATTAAAAAAATATTAGTTAGTAATTAATTCATTGATTAAATTAGATATATTTTATAATATCCCCTTTTCAGTTTATAAATTGTGTCTTTATAAAAGACAGATGCCTTTTAAATTTTAGGATGTGGTGGTTCTCTCACATGAGTGTGATCATATTTGGGGGACCATAGCATCTAATTGATTGAAAACTAGTGCACTATCAAGGCGTGTTGTTTTGTTTTTTGCAAAGTGAGTAAATGATGAATGATGAGGTGCACCTGTGCGTTAACATCTCCTGCTTCACATGATTTAGAGCCTCATGGAAGAGGCTCTCCGTGTCTGAGCCCTGCTCCACGACGCTGCGGGCTACTCTCTTCAGTCGGCTCAACTCTCTGTCCCGTGCGCTCAGGAGCTTCTGCAGTTTGTCCAGCTCTACACCGCTGGCCTGAGTTCTGACCACAGCACGCTGCTTAATGTCAGACTTCTTACTCTCAAACTCAGCCACCGTGCTGACCAGGGTCTGCTCCAGTGTCAACACCTTCTCCCTCAGCTCAGAAATTGTGGCCCGCTGGGCTGTTAGCTTAGATATGGTGTAATTCGAGGTGTCCTGACTCATCTCCTGCAGGGTGAATGAAATTGTGCGTTTATTATCAGTCTTTCTGCTTCATAGGAAAGCTTTATAGTGGACTGTTTAGTCCAAGGGTCTAGTAAGTTTTAAATTAGTTTTAAATTTAGTTTTATTTGTGAGTGTGTGTATGTATGCATGTATGTGTTTTTGTGGAAGGTGCTTCTAGGTGACCCACAGTCCAAAAATAGTAACTATGGTGTTGTGTTGTCACCTTATGCAGACTAAGGATGTCGTTTTCTTCCTTCAGCGCTGCATTTCTCTTCCGTAAATCATCCACCTCTCTGATGTGGAAACCCAATGCCTTATTTAGACGCACATTCTCCTTGAACATCGAGCGAGATGCGTCATCCAGCTGTCTGATGAGGTCAAGATGGAGGATGTCATCTCATTTGTCTCATGTAAAATGTATCTCACAGACAGTTCCAGTGGCATCAGGTAGACATGTTTAGTGGTGTTGAGAGATGGAGAAGATGCTTACATAATGGCTTCATTGTGAGCTTTTTCTGCCAGCACAGCAATCTTTTGCTCAGCTTCCTTCTCCAGGTGAACCTAAAGAGAAAGTAGGAGAAAGGCTGAGAGAGTGAATAGAGAAAAGATTTTGTTGGATTTTTTCCCCCCAGAATAAATACCTTATTATTGAAGAACTTTTGCTCCATTCTTGCAAGTGTTTTCTTGTGTTCTAGATCAGCGTTGTTCATAGTTTCTTTCATCTGTACAAAACAATGCTGCCGTCATCCCTTATGTTGTGCTCCGGTCATTTTGATCATTAATAAGGTAAAGGATAAATAAGTTAAAGGGTTTTCAACAAAGCACAAGGGTTAAAACAGATGTAATACGTCATCTGTATAATGTGTACATGAAATCAATAGATTGCATTATACATTTTTAAGTTCTTGATCCATTTGGGGCTTCTTCCTACAGAAATCATTGATGATCTCCAGCTCCTCCTGAATCATGCTGAACTCGCTAGATCTCTTCTTAAATTTCTCCTCCAGCTCATTGATCTTCAGCGAGTATTCAGTGACCTGTGTAATGTCAATCAGTATAGTTATCTTAAACTTAAAAAATATTATATAAAAAAAAATTAAAATTAAAAAACAAACAAAAATTAAGAATCCTGTAGTAGTAAAACTACTTACTGAAATATATATATATATATTTGTTTGTTTCATTTTTTTTTATTTACACACACACACACACACATATATATATATATATAAAACAAACAAAAAACAACTAAATGACAAAAGCACAAAATTAGTACAAAATAAACTGAAATGAAAGCCTAAACAAAATATTAACTATATAATAAAAGCTAATACAATTTCTTATTGTTTCAAAAATAAATTCACGATTTTATTCACTTTTCTTTGAATGATGTATTTTCTGTGATATTGCTCGCAGATTAAAGGGACAAAATAATGATGAGCACCAATAACTGAATTTATACCTGTTTTCCCATATAAGGGAAAGCCATCTTACCAAATTCTCTTTTTCCTCAGAGGCCCTCGCTTTCTCAAGCTGTATTTGTTCTTCCAGTGCAGTGATCTGAGAAGACAACATGTTAAAGGGTTAGTATCAAAAACGAAAATCTGTCATTT